CATTCTCTTCAGCCTCAAGCTTAAACCAAGCTTAAAAGTAAAATCAAAACTGGCATGAGGTCCTTTTCTCCTGCTCTTTCCCAAGTGACGCCACCTGGTGGACAAAATAAGAATTGCAACCAGAAGGAGCAACCTGGGCAGGACAAGAGGACAGGTGATGCAACTAGGAGTATTATTTACACCAACAACCCAGGGCCATAAGGAGAACATCGGGTTCCACCACATATACAATAGTTTGGATGAACCTAAGGCCAATACCCATGAATCAGTGCTCCACTGGCTGTGGTCTAAAGAAATATCCTAATGCAATCATGCTATTGGAAAAGTACTGGGCCTCTTATCAACAGACAAGGTAATTATTATTTGCTTCAGGATATTTCTCCCAACCAAGCGCCTGGCACTGACACCCTAGCCAAGGCCCCAGCCAGGCCCAGTGTGAAGGCCTTGGTTTTCTCCAGGTTGCCACTGCAGTTATGTCACTGAGCAGCCAGCATTTTTCACTATGACTTGGGATTCCCATTGGATCCAATTGGTGGTAACGCATGCACAACAGCCATTCTATTTGCAAAGGGCTGGCAAATAGAAGTATCCAAGCAAACCTACTAGCACGGGTTTTTCATCACTGCACTTGCAGGTGGGAGACGATCCTGATCTCAGGGCATTCTGTTAATGTTACAAACAATTCTCTGACCATGGTGTTTGAAGTAAGCAGTGTGTTGTAGTCAGAAAAAAAAGTGCAGACTATATTTATAAGTCACTAAGAACATTCCAAAACCAAATCAAACACACTGCCGTGGAGTCAGACCCAACTCATAGTGACCCCTCCCTGAGTTTCCAAGGTGGTATCACTACAGAAGTAGATTGCCTAGCCTTCCTTTTGAGGAGTGGCTGGTGGGTTTGACCCATGGATCTTCTGGTTAGCAGTCAAATGTCTTAGGCACTACACCACCAGAGCTCCCATGAAGAACATTAGCTGAGAAAAAAAAAAAACTTCTTAACTCAGGAGCTTAATTGATATTGGCTCTGGTAGCATAGTGTCTAAGGCACTTGACTGCTAACCAGAAGGCTGGCGGTTCAAACCCATCAGCTACTCCTCGGAAGGAAGATGGGGCAATCTACTTCCATAGTGATGCTGCCTTGGAAACCCAAGGAGGGGTTGCCATGAGTCGGGTCCGACTCGACGGTACATAACAACAACAATAATATATTAATCTGCCCACTATGACACATAAGAGCTTTCTGGGTCCAAGAAGTCTCTGAAGTGACCTTTCATTAGCTTGTAAAATTTTCCCAAACTAACAATTGCTATCCACTCCAAGATTACAAGGGAGATGATGAGAAGAAAAGGGGAGAGAGAAATAAAGCAGGGTGCTGGGGGGGTGGTGGTGGAGGGTGGAACATTGTTGTTGGTGTTGTTATGTGCCGTCGAGTTGGCCCCGACTCACAGCAACCCCTCCTTGGGTTTCCGAGGCAGTATCACTATGGAAGTAGATTGCCTCATCTTCCTTCCGAGGAGTGGCTGGTGGGTTTGAACTGCCAGCCTTCTGTTCTGGTTAGCAGTCAAATGCCTTAGGCAGTACGCTACCAGAGCTCAATAGGACACAGAACAGAAGAAAAATGACTCCTTCAACAGGGACTCCCTTATATGGAGACCAGTTAACCAGATTCTGTCGAGTGGATTCTGACTCAGGGGACCCCATGTGCGTCACAGAAGAATTCTGCTACATAGGGTTTTTATTGGCTGATTTTCAGAAGGAGATCACCAGGCTTTTCTTCCGAAGCACCTCTGGGTGGACTCCAGCCTTTCAGTTAGCAGTGAAGTGCTTAATGAATTGCACCACCCAGAGATGCCATGTTAATTATACTTCAATGAAAAAGCAAGCTGAGTTTGATCCCCATTGACAATAATGGCTACCATTAACCAAACATTAGCTCCAGCTCAGGCATTGTATTAGCTGCACCACAAGCCCTGTAGCATGGGCGCTGTCACCATCATTTTACAGATGAAGAAACCAAGGCTTACTTGTGCATGGTGGCACAGCTAATACATTGCAGAGCTGGGAATGCAGCCCGGGTTTTCCTGCCCTAGAACACAAGCTTGTTCCTACTAGCTGAACAGTGGGACAAGGAGTAGGTTGGGGTGGGGGTGCTTATTGAAGAGTGGGGGCTGGAATGAGTGAGTGGAGGCAGTTGGAGGATGTGTTAGAGCTGCCAGGACAGTGAGGAAGGAGACAAAGGGGCAAGGGCAGGAGAAGTGCCCCCTGGGAGCCAGCAACACTGAAGGCCCAGAGGCAGACTCTCACACTGTAAGTCTAGCCAGCATTTCTGACACTCAAGGCTGGGAGAGCAGCAGTGGGAAGGGGAACCAGAAGAGTATCCAAGCTGCCCAACTGTCCATTGAGTTTTCTAAGAGGGCTGTGCTCACCCAGGTCATTTCGAAAGGCAGCCAAGCAGCCAGCCCTCAAAGAAAGCGATCTCTGTCTAGGAAATAGGAAATATTAATTCAACCAGGTGGCTCCCAGACTAGACTATTTAGTCCTCTGGGTATACAATATTCCAAATGAGGTGTGGAGTGTCAAGGACTGCTGATCACTGTCCAGTCAAACCTCAAGTCCCGGGCCCCACTAACTGGCACCCTTAACGTACTCCCCCCGCCCATTCCCGCTGTGCTCATCTTTTAGGAGGATGAGACCAACGACAAGAAAATAAGCTCATCTAAGGGATTTAGCTTAAGAAAACAACTTTAGAAGGCTATCCCAGGTTCAGCCCAAACTCAGCCAGTCTCTGGTCTTCTCTCCACCTATAGTCCTACATAGTGA